GAGAGAGAGAGAGAGAGAGATTGAACAAACGCACCTACAGCTCAAAAATCCTGCCATCTGCTGGTCATGCACATGAACATGTTTAGCTAAATTATTTCCTTTGAATGTGCGAGACTTCTGATTCATTAGCTGCTAAAGAAGAAAAACAAATAAACGGTCAAACTATCTGCGCTACAAACCAGTGTGTTTCTGATTACGATAATAAATTACAGTAATATGATAACAAATACCAGTTTGGAATATCAAGCAGCAGCATAACGTACTGTTTCTGTTCACCTAAAATAACGAATGGCCGCGTAACACAGGTAAGAATAAAGTTATAAGATATTAAGGATTCTTAAAATTACTCTGATAATTTTATCAAATTTATAATAATTCTCCAGATAGCACACGAACGTCTGCAAGATGTCTGTTAAAGATTACATGATCGGGAAAGCATCTGCTGAGTACAAACATCTGACAGACGTCTGTAAGATGTCAGTGTTACACACATTCTAAATCATAAACTTATTAAAGACATCTAATAAACGTCTAATTGACATCTAAAAGGAAACGTCTTATAGACGTACTGCAGATGAGCAAACACTTTAATAAATACGTCTTGCAGATGTAAATGCAGACGTCAAATAGACGTCTCCGTGATGTACGTGTGCTATCAAGATCTTGACTTAGTTATTCAAAAATGTGCTGCTTTGATTATTTAACTCCTCCCCAACGTGTTAATAAACTAAAATAACTAATGTAAACCAGTGGAGATGAACTGATTAAATATTCATCCACTAAAGGCATATGGACAATATTTTGTTGCTTGGATATCCAGAATTATGGTGCACAGATAACTAAGACACGTTGCCATGACATCTGCAGTGTATTTACATATGCAAAAGGGTCAAAGAAGAAGGTCATGTGAGGCAGAATTAATAATTGCTCAACCAATCAAACAGATCATGCATCCAACGTGCATTCTACGATGCGTGTGGCAGACTTGCACCAATGATACATGTAGCACAGCACCGTGTTAAAATGGCTGGCTTTCCGAAAATGCTAGTTGCATCTGTTATCTGTCCATGTGAATGCGGTTCCAACACATTTGGAGTTTGTGTGTGTGTGTGTGCATGTGCATACGCTGTGATAGCTCATGCATTATTAATGAATCATTTGGATGGCAAACCTATAAATCTGATTACACGATCCTACCATCACTTATTATTTATTAGACCACTGTAGCGATATGCATGACATTAATCTAAATGCATATAAACCAGAAACCAGTGGAGAAAACAGAGAGAAAGAGAGCGAGAAACTGCTGGATGTCATCACACGCACCTTTCAGTTTCCACAATGACAGCTCAAGGCATCAGTTAGACAGAAGGCAGCTTAAAAAGCGATGCACAGGGAGGTAGCTGTCCTCCATATCAGTTCAGGCACTACACAACAACAAGTGTTTCAGACAACAGCTTGTCTGCATGACAATTTTTGTGGCCTCCAATAAAAGCAGCAGTTGGGGACTGCAATATGAGTGCTGTGATCATTCTGTTAACTGGAGAGAAGAATACAAACCACATAGGACTTTTTAAATATATTTCTTATTAATATCCCCAATGGTTAGAGCTTGTAAATGCTTTATATTTTATTTCGAGCCTTTCAACCTCTTCAGTCCCCTTTGGATGGTGGTGGTCATGTTAGTTGGTCACTCTGTAGCCTATTATTCCTGATACTCAGCTAACAGGGAACGTTCTGGCAAGGTTCTCTCAAGGTTATGAGCAAACATTCTTCCATTAACTTATCAGGTCTTTTATAATAAGGTTATAAAAACATTAGCACAAAAATGTGATTTCTACATTGTTCAGGGAATGTTTTGTCTACAATGTTTTAGTTTTGAATTATTTTTTTAAACGTTAATACTTGTTTCAGAATGTTCAAAGAACATTCAGAAGTAATGTTCTAAAGTTTGCAAAATGATAAAATGGAATGCTCTCATAACCAATTTTTTTTTTTTCAGAGAACATTTGAGAACATTTATGAGAGTCAATAAAATGGTTTTAGAAAATATTTTAGAAAAGTTTATTTAAAAAAAAGTTTAAACCAGTCTAAGGTGGCTTGCTGGTCTCTCAACCTTTTAGTGGATTTTATAGTGGCGGACTAGCTTAAACCATCTAAAATCAGCTCAAACCAGCTTAGGTCGTCTTTTTTCCCCCCTGGATGAGTAGGAATTTGTCTTGGTCACAGAAACAACAACAGTCAGACAGTAAAAGAGTACATTAAAAAATGAATAATAAAAAGATAGCACAATATACCCTATGTACCAATACCATCCACACCTCATAAAAATTACTCAAATGCAAAAATTCAGTCTTATATGTTGTTAAGAGTTTGACAGGTTCGCTGTCGTGTCTGTGTTTTTGAATTAATCAGCACAAAGCCACCTAACTTAAGCAGCCACTCAAAAACGACTGCAGATCCAACATGACTACTCTTCACCCAAACAACCACTCGCTGCTGTCTCCACTTCACTAAAGAATGAGACTCTCTAAACCTGTGAGAGGCACACTCGGCTCTGCAAGTGCAGCATGAAAACACTTATCTGATGCACAAGTACAATTACAGAGGATGGAGTGCTATCCTGACATCACAGGGTGGAGTATTTCTCATCTTCTATAGCTTAGTGCGTGTTCCTCAGCAGTCTGTGTGATTATGATACAAAGACAAATTGCACTGCGACTATTAATGACTGTTACAATGCAGGCTGTTTTATAAGCATTCATAAAGAGTACAGTATAAGAACAGAAAAGGGGTTGAACTGTATACTATTTAGGGTTCAGACATTATCATACACTGCAATAAATTATAAAACGTTCTGAATGTACCCTTGTGAAAAATAAATATACTTAAATGCATTTCTAAGTATACAACAAATACATATTCATATTTATGTACTTAATAAAACACCCTGCAATTGTACTTTTAGTATACTAAACTGGTATACTTAAAGTCTGCTAAATTGGAACAACTAATTGTGTACTTAATGCACTTTAATTGAGCGGATGTAGTGCTGAAGTCCAATTAAAGATATACGTAGTATATTTTATTGTGCTAAAGTGGAACTACTGCAGGTATACTTCAGGTACACTTTAAATATGTTGCTTTTAAAGGCCGATATTATTCAAAGATCATACAATCCTCATCAATAGAGACATTAAAACACATTTTAGACTTAATATTAAGAAATGTGCATTGTGCACAAGTAGTTCGCCAAATAAAGTTTAATTATAATTTTTGTATCAGTAAGTCTCGACTTATCTGTCAGTATATGTACTATATGTAAATAGATTTGAACTATACTTAGATTGAAATAAACGTATTTTAAAGATATTACTTTTTTACTAGGGTACTACCCATATAATAAGATAATAACAAACAATACTGTAAGGGACAAATATTCAAAACGTGATTTGTTTGTTTAATGCTTGACAAGCAACAGGTAAAAAATAAGCAAAGTTGGCTATGCAACAATATAAAGATATACAATGCTGACATCTAGTGGAACAAACACAGACACACAATTTCTTAGATATCTAACTGTATATTTAACTTTATGACTTGTATTTATATTTGTGCGCACACACACAATATAAATAAAATTATAATATATATATTTTTAATATATAAATGTATTTAAATGTGTGTGTGTGTGTGTGTGTGTGTGTGTGTGTATATATATATATATATATATATATATATGTCATTCTTAAGGAAATTTCCATAAAGATCATAGTGTTTTTATTATTATAGTGTATGTTTATATTTAGGTGCACTCAATTATGCACTCAGTTTGACCAAGACTTAAAAAAAAAACACAGACAGAAGTGCCAGTACAAGGTGTTATACTGCTGGAACAAAAACAAAAAGAAAACAAAAACTTTGAAATGTCAACAAAAATGCCTCAATTTATTTATTTATTTATTGCAAAATAATACAGTTTCAAAACATAGTTTGCATAATTTTTTCAAAAAAAATAAGTAAAAAAGCATAATTAGGCACTCAAAGCCTAAAATGATTCCCATACACAACCTCAGCAATGACTGCTCATCTGAAAATCACTGCACAAAATCCACAACTCGACTGTAATGAATGCCCAGCTGCTATGAACACTCTAATATTTTTCCTGTCCATGTTTGTTTACATCAGTTCACTGTACGCCATCATGATGAGCCATGTGAGCCAGTGCGAGCGGTCAAAGTTGAGCCTCATTGCTGCCACAACATTAGCGTGATTCAGTGATTCAGCAGCATGCTGCACACTACACGAACATGCAGCCAAACGTGAAGACCTCTGCCACCCCGTGTCATGCCATATCAACTAACTGCTTTGCTAAAATACATAGGTTTGCCAAACACTTCGGAGACGTCCCCTGCGGGCAGGTTCTAGGTAAAGTCACATATGCAGCCTGCCAGATCAGCTGTATGCATATGTATGCATATATTTTTGGTCCACCTGCAGTGTCTTCACTGCAGACCCTGTAAAAAGCAATGTTGCCAAATAAATCTGAACTGTGTACAGAATGCTATGCTGGACTGTCCACCCACAACCTTTTTGGGTGATGGAAATGTCAGACAAAGGCCATGCTTGTCTGCTGAGCAATACAGACCATTTCTAAAAGTATTTGGACACTATTAAATACGAATTTAAAATTTTGTAAAATGTCATCACATTAGATAAATTATCAAATTGACTGGCATTTATTTAAAAGAATTGTAGCCTTTCAAACAAAAGATTTAACCAAAAATAAAGATAAAAAAGTATTTTAACTATTAATTTTAAATTTTAAATTAAAATTCAGAAATTGTCCATTATGGCCATTATTTTCATGTTACAGTATTGCCAATAACATTATAATTTTTGTTACCATGATGTTTATTTTTTTAATAAAATGTAATCAAACCCAAATATACAAAACTAATAATAAAAAACAAAATGGAAAAAAAGAACACAGGGAATTCTAGGAATGTCAATTTACAGTTTTTCACTGAAAAATTATAAGGATTTGATATTTTACTTCCAAATGCTGTAATTTTACCTGTATTTTACTGTAAAACTACTTTAAATGTCCCATTCGATTTATTTTTTTTACCATATGTAGTAAGTGAACTTATTGTTAACCAATTAAAAGGTTTTTAACACAGCATTTTATAGTTTTTACTGTTAAAATTATGATCTTTTTTACACTTTACAGTATTAAATGGGAGTGAATTATTACTATTATCAAAAGCTTGATGAAAGAAACATTAAAAGAAAATTGGTGTAGAAACCATTTTCACTCAGAATTTAATAGTAAGTTTCACATGTAAAGAGAATTAAATGTGATGACATGTTTTTTTTAGAGTGCATTACAATTAGGTACATTAAAAAATATACAAAAAATTATTTTTCATATTTTAAAAACACACTGTAGTCCCAAATCTGCATCTGCTCTGGCCATTCATTTTCATTTAAAGGTTTTAATAGAACACAACTATACCACGGTGTCATACCCAATTTATTGTAATATTAAACCTGACTCATCATTTTTGGATAGAAATATAATTTTTGGAACTTACAGCAACTGCCTATGAAAGACAGCAAAGGAGGTGTATAGGTGAGGATGTTGATCTATTATGAGCCGGACATGAGCCTGGCCTTCAGTACATGTGCAGTTTTCAAGAGGTCAGGAAACAACATTGTGAAACTAGCCGGATAATTCTAAGAAATCGTTCCAAGTAGTTTTTGGAATGTTCTCATGTTTAAAAGGCTTCAAAATGCACTGATGCTATTTATGTACATATATGGACTATACTGAGAGTCAACAGTATACTTCAAAGTGCATTTGTCCATCTTTTTGTGTGTTAATGGGTGGAAATATTACTCTGGCATTTAGCAACTCAATGTATGATTCATAATGACTTTTTTAAAGTACTTTCTTTGCGATTGAATTGTGACTGAAGTTCCCATTTAGACTTCTGCAGAGTATGAAAGTTTGTCGTATTAAATGCTTCATAATTATCATTAGGTCATTGGTAAAGCATATGATGACATTGACTTGGCACATATTTCACTTCAAATAGACATATTTGAAATATATCAAATATTACATTCACTTCAAATAGACATCAAGCAAAGATGTTCACGTTTTCAAGAGAAGGATCCACATGTACTGTCTCAAAGAAGTTTACCAAAAACAAAAAACAAAATTGGACATGGACATGCAGTTGCTGTCCATGGTGCTGGATCCTCTTAGCCTTCTGTGTGCCAAACTAAACTGAACACACAAGTAATGCTAAAAGGGAATTTCTGTTTGTAAGTTAAACAGTTTGCTTAATAACCAGATATTTTCTTTTCATTTCTGTTTTTGTGAGAGAGAGACAGAAAATATGTGGAATGGAACTTGAATAGACCGTGTGGAGCCCCGCCGGGTGTTTGGGTCTGATTTTACAGCCACGTTGTGTTGTGTGTAAACAGAGACTGACTCATTACTTCTGCTTAACCTCACGTGGAGACAAAATACCTGAAATATACACTGCTTTGACCCCAATAACTTACAGAAAACCCAACAACTGTCAGCTTAAAAAAGATTGGGTAGGACTTTTCAGCATAAAAAAAACACAGATCTTGTATGAAGTTATCATCAACCTAATTAAGAGATTTTTAACCAGATTTTTTTTCTCCCCCAGGCAAAAATCATGTTTTGTGGATCAATTAATTAAACACATTAATGATGGCAGAGCTAATTTCTTTCATAATGTTCTTGAACAGCATTGAAAAACATTATATAGTTTGGGGTCAGAGAGATTTTTCTTTTTTTTTTGAAAGAAACTAATATTTTTATTCAGCAAGGATGGATTAGGTCTAAAGTGATAGTAAAGACATTTATAATGTTACAAAAGGTTTCTAGTTCAAATAAATGCTGTTCTTTTGAACTTAAATTTACCCCTTCCTGCAAAAATATTAATCAACACTGATAATAATAATAAATGATTAAATCAGCATATTAAATTGATTTCTGAAGGATCACTGAAGATTGGAGTAATGACGGCTGAAAATTCAGCTTTGCCATCACAGCAATAAATTACATTTTAAAATATATTAATGTAGAATATTTCACAATATTGATTTTGTTTTTTTTACTGTATTTTGGATCAAATTAATGAGACTCCTTTTAAAAAACATGAAAAATGCTTGCCAACCCCAAACTTTTGAATGGAAGTGTAAATACTTTAGCAACAAAAGAAAACTGTTTTTAGTTGTAGATAGAGATTTATCTAGTCACCTGATCTCTATCGCTTCTGTCGGCATGTTTCACGCATATCATCATATAAAGTGGCATTCTGTCTGCATACTATTTTCATCCCTGAACATTTGAGAGAACAACTCACTGTTTTATGACAGTTTGTAAGATTTGGTATCTAATAATAGTCCCCCTGTCTGTGTTTGACCCATATCCAGCTGTCTGACGTCATAGTTCCATCCAGTTTAACGTCGACTTGTCATAGCCACACATATCATGTCTTGAGGGTCGGGTGGCGTATGATGGTCGTCACAGTGGTACTGGACATCCAGCCACACTAACACAAATGTCTGAGGTCAAGTGTCTCTTATCGAGCACATGCAGCAAAACATGCTGAATTCAAACACAAAAGGATAAAGGAAAAAAAGCAAGATCACATTTGCCCCTTCAAACATCAAATTCCAATGGCTGTTGGCTTTTGTCAGATCAGTGTGTTCACCCCAAGTGCACTGGGCCTTAAAAAACAGAAACGGTGTTCACTGTGACTCAAAAATTTTTTTCATACCTCATTAACATTTGTGGTCAGCATATACATAGTTAATATAGGAAAAATACATAATAATATAACTTTAACTTGGCAAATGACCATGGAATAAGCGGGATAATCAACGGCTAGCCGTGCGTTAAAAGATTTTAAATGCACAACATGCAGTGCAATCAGCGATCTCTGACCTCTCTCTCTCTGTCTGTCCAAAATATGCAAAAATTCATAATAATGTAATTTAATTAATAATACAATATAATGTAATATAATATGAAATAATATATAATACAATTGTATGTATATAAATATAAATATTTTAATGTTTATTTAATGTTACAATGCAAGAAAAATGCATCTATTTTATTTACTATATATTTACTTTTATTATATATTAGTATTGTTCCCCTAAGCACTTTTTTTTTAATCCTAAAATCATAATATTATAATCTCATAAATATATTATATTTTATGTATATGAATGTAAATATCTCAATTACAAATTTTTCTATCTACTTCATTTAATGTTACAATGCATGAAAAATGCATCTATTTTATAATTGATTTATATTTTCATGCATAACATTTTCCAGTCTTTGGAAGTACACCAATGCTTTACTGAACACTGACAGGGCAGAATGAATTGAAAACTCTAAAAGCAACTCAGTCCATTTCCGTAAACCACTTATTCCTTACGATGACTATTTAAAGTGCACAACTTACTGGCGTTTTGGGTCATGTTGAATGGCAAAAGTCAAGAGCACCAATCACCCAGGTTACTCTGGTGGGGCAGATGACAGGACAGAGAGAGGGTTAAAGAGAAAACGCAAAATCGAAGCGGGCAGCCTGCAGGGACTTGGGTGGGGGGAAGAGGCATTAGTCACCACCTGATTGAAAGAACGGACACAATGGATTACGACAATCAAGCCATCATCACGCACGCACACTTTTCATGCCCGCCCCCTTCGTTCTTCCCTTCTCTTTAATGGGCAGATTCGTCCCTCAGCACCTAAACTCTGGGCACTTTAAATAGCAGTCCGACCCCTTGCTATTCCACAACCTATCCTCTCCTCTCCTCTCCTCTCCTCTCAGAATGTCCAGGAGCCTGAAGCAAGGTATTTCTATGAACTGACAGAAGCTCTGATTCAAGGAGACTAGCTAGCTTTTGAAGCCCATGTGGCTGTCTACAGTTAGAAATCAAATCTCTTTCTCCATCTGTGGATGTACTCCCCTGTTTTTCTCAGAGGAACTTAGATTTTCTCTAACCCTCTGCTCCTCTATTTCTCTCTCTGTCTTTGGGTTTGTCTGTGCCGGCAGTGGCTGTGCTGCTTGTGGCACTTCTGTGCCTGGATCCTCACGGCCGGGTCGGCTCCGCACCCATCTGCGCACACGGGCCATCAGGATGCCACGTCCCGTCCCTGGCAGATCTCTTCGACAGGGTCATTCAGCACTCTGCCAGAATGCACAGCCTCTCCAACGATCTGCACTCAGAGTTTGTGAGTCACATCTGTCTCTTCTTCTAATTGTGCTAATGCAACTGTCTTAATAAAGTGAGGAGGTTGTAAAATGTTGTGCATGTGCTACAGTATTATATCCAAATTTTGTAATGCAAGAATGCATTTTTAGCAAAATGATTATGTATATCAAAATGCACAGTATATAAATTTGCAAATATGTATGAATATTACCTAAAGTTATTATATAGAGTAAATAATCTACTTATCTCAAAAGGGAAAAAAATGCATAAACTGACTGAAATATTTTTTTCTTGTTAATACAGATAAAATCATTTCTTTTTGCTAATATCATGTATGAATTGTGAGATATGTATTTACATATTTATCATGATAAAATGCATAGCAACAAAATTAACTCTTTTTGTTAATATTAATTAAGATAATAGACTTTTTTAGATGCATAGTAAAAATTCATAAATGCATAACAGCAAAATTAACTCTGTTAATATAAAGTATGAATTTAAATAATATTAGACATTAATATTTTAAAAATATTATAAGTTAAACTTCTAATAAAATACATAAATAAATAATATTAAAAAGAATATTTTAGAAATATTTCAAAAGTGCATCAGATCATTTGTAGATATTTTATAGTGCATAATAAAATGCATAACTAAATTTACTATTTTTGTTCATATCTAGTATGAATTAAAATAATATTAGTCTTTTTAGATATTTAAAATGCATAATAACATGCATAAACTTGAAATGAACTACTTTTGCTCATCTAAAATATGAATTTAAATAATAATAGACATTTTAGATTTTTTTAAAAGTGCATCAGATTATTTTTAGATATTTTATTGTCATAATAAACTGCACAATAGCATTTAACTAAAAGTTAAATCATTTAAATGTAAAATCTATATTATTAATATATACAATTTAAAAGATGACTAAATAATGATTTTATTCTAACATTTAAATATAACTATATTTATATAAAATTGCTAAAGTAATAAACTAAATATCTTTCTGCAAACTGAATGTGGCTTCAGTTTCAGTTTTTTCCCCTTCGTCTTCTCTTTTTCTTTTTGACTGAAGGAACAGTATTTCCTCCCCAGCAAAAACCATATTGGAAAGATCTACCGCAAGTGTCACACCTCCAACATTTTGACTCCAAACGGCAAAGAGAATGCACAGAAACTAGCTGTGAGTATAACATCCTAATCAGCCAACAACCGCTTCCTAAAAAACGTCCCCAAGTTCAGCTCTAAGCTGCATTTATCACATCGAGCATCTGTGATTCTGCTGCCACTGCTTGTCATTAATGGACTGTATTCTCTGATCCCACTGCTGTCTTATCACCTCTGTGCCCTTGAGCAAAGCACTTAACCGCAGCCCGTCCCAAGAGAACTGTCCCATCAATTAATGCACTTAAAGTCACATCTGCTAAATTAAGTAACCCAGCAACCATCTCCTCAAACTCTCAACCCTCATTAGTATATTGTATATAGTTTCAGACAAATCAACACTACTGTTCTTGCCTACCTGTAGCTTTTAACTCCTTAAACTCTTGTGTGTCAGCGTGAAGAGTTAACGGAGGTGATTCTTAAACTGCTGATGGCCTGGAGGGACCCCCTGTTCCAGCTGCACCAGAGCATGGCTCACCAGCAGGACTTCAACAGCTTCAGCAGTAACAAAGCCCTGGAGATGGGGGACATGGCCCATGAGCTGAGGAAAGGGGTGGAGAAAGTAGCTGAGAAGGTGAGTCACATCAAATCAGGGAATAAGAAAAGGTGTGAGACACTTGTGTGATTGTATTTATGAGTTACTGTAGGCACTTTCCACAAAATCTTTGATGTTTTGAGTATTATCTGTTTTGTATATGTTTTGAGATTGTAAGAGTATAAGATATATTATAAATATTATAAATAGTAGCTGATAACACATTTTATCTGGGGGGTTTTTCTATGCAGCAACAGTTAAAGCGATAAATGAAAGTGATCATTTTGACCATCTTTAAGAAAAAAAAATATAGATTTTTTTTAATTTTAGTATTATATTTAATATATCATCATTTATAGTCAAAAACATTTTAAATCAATTTTACTTACTTTAGCATCTCTGTTAGATAAATATTAGGTTTAAAGTACAGTATTATATCTCAATTTGGAAATGCAAATATGCATTTTCCACATATTTTTCATATATCATAATAAGTATGATCACATTGCAAAATGAATGGTATATGACTTGCAAATTATGACTATTACCAGAATCTAAGGGGAGAGAAAAGTGCATTTCTCAAAATATTTCATTATAGTAAAAATTTTAATATGTATGTATGTATGTG